TTGGGATGCAAAAGGAAAACTCTTCCCAGACGCTCCCAACAGTTTTCGCTGCTGTTGCTGACACTGAAGTTGCAAAGGGGGGGGAAAGAAAAAAAGAAAAAAAAAAAAAGAAAAGAAACAAGAAAAAGGAAAGAAAAAAGAACCTGCTGGGGAAAGCAGGATTTTTCCCACGCACTACGCGGAGGCACAAGGGGAAAAAAACCATAAATCTCCCTACTCCAGAGGAAAGGCATCGCCTGGTACGAATAAATTCACAGGGTTAGTGAGCGATAGAGGAGTGCAATAATTGTAATACCGACCCGGGCCTCCTTCTTCAATGCAGCGGGGCAAATCAAAGCCTGGCTGTGAGGGGTTGCAGGAGAGGGAACCCACCCAGAAACCCCGCTCCGAGCCTCGGAACTGGCCGCCTTTTCCCGATTTTCACCAGTTTCTGGAAATCCCTGACACAAACCCCAGCAACATGGCGACCGGGACGCGAGAAGGAAAAATTCATTCGATGAGGGAGGGGGGAGAAAAAGACAACAACAAACCCAAGCCCAGCCCAAGGTCTTCTTCTTCGATCCGACCCCAGTCAGAGCCCGCACGCTTTTGTGCTTTTAATTACGGTACCCCCGAACGGCGAATCGCTCCCTGGGCAGCACCCAGCCCCGCTCCTGGGAGAGAAACCAGCCCTGTCTCTCGCTTACACCGTTATTTATTATTGCAGGAAGGTTATAATTATTAACCGGGAACTTCATTTATTAAGAGAGATCAGAAAAAGAGAGGAGCACGAGATCATTTCTCATGTAAAGCCTTCTCCACTCGACTTTGCTACACGCGGGGGTTTATCCAGGCACCTACGGATGCCCCCGGCTGTGCAAACAGGTGTACAAACCACGGATATTCACACACATTCCCTGTTTCTACAGCCCAGCCCTTTTTTGGGGTACCTTTTTGCAACCTTTTCGCTGTTTTCTCCCGGCAGCAATCAATATCCCCCTCTCCTTCCCTCCGAGGGGACCTTCCCCTCCGCATCAGCCACAGAAACGCAGCGCTCCGAGCCTGGCAAGCAGTTCACCCCTTTTCCAGCACCGTAAAACTTTTATTGGCCCTCGCTGCTTTAATATAAGTTTTCTTAGGGCTTTAGAGCATAAAAAGCAAATTATTCACGGTATTAGCCCATCTGCTTTCGCTGCTGGCAGAGGATTATTCTCCCTTTGGCTCGCACCGATGCTGTACCCTTTGGCAGCGGCTTTCCCCCACTTTAAGAACCATTTTGGACGCGGGGGTTAGTCTGGGGGGGTGGGGGGTGCGGGCTTGTGTGCGTGTGTGTGCACGCGTGTGTGTGTGCACGCGTGTGTGTGTGAGCGCATTTTAATAATAATTAATTATAATACGTAATGTAATTTCTCTTCACTTTGAAGGGGCCGCGGGGCCGGCCCGGCCGCTCCTGGCCCGAACCCCCGGGGGTTTCGCCCCAGAACGGGACGCGGAGCAGAACACCGGGGGCCGGAGCCGGGCGCGTGGCGAGCGGTCCCTCCCCTGCGCTCTCTGCGCGGTTTTCACCCGCGCGTGGTTTATTTTTGCCCCTAAATCCGACTGATAGGACAAGCTAAAATTGATAACAGAAAGTTTATTCAAGAATTGTTGAACAGACAACCCTTAAGCAAGGAAACAAAATAACTACTGTAAGAACAAAGAAAGCTCTCCCAAGAGGAGGGGTGAGGTGGGAGGGAGGGATTAGCTATAGTTCTTCTAATTCAGGACTATACAATTACAGTCTGGTTCTGCTCTCATGCCTCCAGTAGAACTAATTACATTATTCATAAGTACGAAGGTAACATAAAACTACTGGTCTTTCTAAATTACAATAACTGAAATAAGCTTGTTGTACAATGACAAGGAAACACAATGTCCTTTGTAACAAGTAAATACTAAAAAAGTACAATTTGATTCTTTTTTCTTCATATAAATACATAATATTGGGGATAAATAATACAAAAAAAAGGAAAATATTTTAAACTGGCTATAACCAATAAATATATATGAATGTTCACCAGAACACACACCTATTGAAGGACGTCTCGACTGAGTTCAATGAACACCCTTCAAAGTTGTTTTTATACCCATTATATGTAAACTCTAAGTGCAACAAAGATGTCCAGACAAGAAAGCATTAGCAAATACGAGAGATCCATTCACTTCTGCTTCTATTGGAGGACATTCCGTTTGTTCAAATATACCCTGTTTTCACGTAAGGTCAAGAGAAGAGGAGGAAAGAAGCGTAGGACTTCTAAGTCTTAAGATTGCTTTTCTGTTAGTGAACCCTAAGAAAAAAAACCCCAAACAAAAAAACGCAGCGTCGTCAAATGGAGACTTCACGGCATCAGAGGCAAAGGTGGGAAATATTCAGACCTGTCAACTTTTTCTTCCTCTCTTTGGACTGCTGTTACTGTTGGTGGGCGCTTTTAGGCATTTTGAAAACTTGTTTCCCAGATCTTTTACAATTCTTAGACTGCTCTTATCCTAAATTTTTTTTTGTTGTTATTGTTTTTGAGAGGGGAGGTAAGGGCTGGAGGGGAAGACCGTGAATCCCATGCGTTGGCAGGTATGTATATTTGCAGTTTATGTGGGGACTGGTGGGAAATTACTCAGCGAAAAAGGATGCCCCTCTTCTGATGGAAAGGGAAGCACGAGGTCCGTCTTGAGAAGGAACTGGAGAGGACAGTTGTTCTCTTGTGAATCTCTCTTGATTGCATCTGTGTACACATGTGCAGGTTTACGTAGATGTAGAGACCAACTGTAAAGACTTGGCTGGATGACTATTCTCCTTTCCAGTGTCCGAGAATTAGCAGTGATGATCTGTACTTGGTTTGGAAATTAAGGATGTTGCTGCTAAAAACCTGCTAGATTCCCACAAAACTACCCCAAACCCATTTCAGAAGCATTTGTGTTGAAACACGGGAGGTATATCTCTTCAGAGAGAGCTGCTGTTGGCATGAAATCTTGAAATGGTTGGAAATTGTGCCCAATACAACCCAGAAATAATAATAGCAAGCACAACAACCTGGTAGAAACTGCCCTGTCAAAGAAAGAAAGAAAATGGCTCAACACAAATGTTCCTGAAGCCGATCCTGCCCTCTTCCCCTCTCCCACACCCCGCGGCGAGGTCCCATCCGCTTCGCCTGAGCCTGTCCCTGCTCCCTATCACAGGTGGGTCAGCTTGGGCGCCTCTTGGATTCTGCCCTGAGAAGAAGCGTGGTGCGTGGAAAGGTCTGTGTAGGTGGGGTGGGTCTCGCATGGTCCGTGGTGCTGGCTCGGGGGCATCTGCGGAGGCCCGTTGTAGTCCATGTTGGCTGCCTGGTGATGTGGCAGGTGATTTAGGCCGTAAAGGGATGGGCCAGAGGTGGGCATAGAATCCACATAGTTACCTCCAACGTAGACGGGGCTTCCCTGCATGCTGGGAGTCCCGTAGGCCACCCCGTTCCCTTGTAAGACGTGGGGGTCGTACTCAGGGGCCGTGTTGGCGTATTTCTGTTGGGAGGGGCAGCCTTTGATGGGGTTTTGGTAGTTAGTTGACATGGCATAGGCATTTTGGTGGGGTTTATTGAAGGAAGGCGGCGAGGGGGCATCATAGTTACTGCTCATGGTGTGCAAGGCGTTCATAAATCCGGTGGAGGATTGCATGGGCTGGGGCGGGCTGCCGGTGGGCGAAGGCCCTCCAGAGGAAGACCCCATGCCTTTCGACTTCTGATCTTTCTTCTACTTCATCCTCCTGTTCTGGAACCAGATCTTGATCTGCCTCTCGCTGAGG